GATCAACAGGGCAGGGCGGGCGGAGGGAGCGGTTATGGTGCCCTCAGTCCCGTTCCCAGAGGCTCTGCTTCTCAGAACCCCAGGAACCGCTGCAAACCTCGGAGAGAAAGCTGCCTTCCAGATGCTGCCAGACACTCCCGCTTCTCCCGTTTGAGTCCGAGTCCCCAGCGATTCGCCCGTATCTGGAGCTCAGAGTCTGAGACTCCCCCCTGACCGAAAACGACAACCGCGCTCTCAGCCACCAGCCCGCTTTGCGCGCGCACCTCCGCACCTGAGTTTTTTCCACACTGCGCCTCCTCTGAGCCTCGGTGTGCTGTTATTTTTCCTTCTAGTTGAAGAGTCTCTCCTCAGCCAGCCTTCCTGCGGTTCTGGGTGATGTCCGTTCCGTCTTTTAGTTGTATTTTTGAAGTGGTTGTTTGCGGCAGCAGTCTCTGGTGTTTACCTATGCCGCCATCTTGGTCTCTCTCAAGGTCAAGTCTTAAAAGTAGCTTTGTTCCTGCAGAAATTGCTAGATTAGGTATGTATGTAATTGAAAATGTGCCCAGTGATAATTGCATAAATATACTAAAAGCCACTGAATTGTATTCTTTAAAGGGTGAATTTTATGGTGTGAATTATTTTTTTTTTTTTTATTAATTTTTATTTTTATTTTTTGCTAAAAGTATTACAAAGGGTATTATGCATACAAGTCCTTCGGTTGATCTCTTACTCCCCTCCCTTCTGCCCCCCAACCCTCTCTGGCCTTCCCGCTGCAGTTTGACAATCTGTTTGAGGCAGCTCTGCCTCTGTATCTATTATTGTTCAAAAGTTTATAATGGTCTCTATTATCCATGAATGTGTGAGATCATGTGGTATTTTTCCTTCATTGACTGGCTTATTTCACTTAGCATAATGCTCTCCAGTTCCATCCATGCTGTTGCAAATGGTAAGAGTTCCTTCTTTTTTACAGCAGCATAGTATTCCATCGTGTAGATGTACCACAGTTTTCTAATCCATTCATCTACTGATGGGCACTTAGGCTGTTTCCAGATCTTAGCTATGGTGAATTGTGCTGCTATGAACATATGGGTGCATATATCCTTTCTGATTGGTGTTTCTGGTTTCTTGGGATATATTCCTAGAAGTGGGATCACAGGGTCAAATGGGAGTTCCATTTCCAGTTTTTTGAGGAAACTCCATACTGTCTTCCATAGTGGCTGCACCAGTCTGCATTCCCACCAGCAGTGCACAAGTGTTCCTTTTTCTCCACATCCTCTCCAGCACTTGTCGTTTGTTGATTTGTTGATGATAGCCATTCTGACAGGTGTGAGATGGTACCTCATTGTTGTTTTGATTTGCATCTCTCGGATGATTAGTGACTTTGAGCATGTTTTCATATGTCTCTTGGCTTTCTGAATGTCCTCTTTTGAAAGGTGTCTATTTAGATCCTTTGCCCATTTTTTGATTGGATTGTTTATCTTCTTTTTGTTAAGTTGTATGAGTTCCCTATAAATTTTGGAGATTAGGCCCTTATCAGATATGACGTTGGCAAATATGTTTTCCCACGCAGTGGGTTTTCTTGTTGTTTTGTTGATGGTTTCTTTTGCTGTGCAGAAGCTTTTTATTTTGATGTAGTCCCATTTGTTCATTTTCTCTTTAGTTTCAACTGCCCTAGGAGCTGTATCAGTGAAGAAATTGCTTTGGCATATGTCTGAGATTTTGTTGCCTTTGGATTCTTCTAGAATTTTTATGGTTTCCTGTCGTACATTTAAGTCCTTTATCCATTTTGAGTTTATTCTTGTGTATGGTGTAAGTTGGTGGTCTAGTTTCATTTTCTTGCATGTATCTGTCCAATTTTCCCAGCACCACTTATTGAAGAGACTGTCTTGGCTCCATTGTATGTTCTTGCCTCCTTTGTCAAATATTAATTGAGCATATTGGTTCGGGCCGATTTCTGGGTTCTCTATTCTATTCCATTGATCTATATGTCTGTTCTTGTGCCAGTACCAGGCAGTTTTGAGAACAGTGGCTTTGTAATACAGCTTGATATCTGGTATTGAGATCCCACCTACTTTGTTCTTTCTCAGGATCGCTGCAGCTATTCGGGGTCGTTTTTTGTTCCAGATGAATTTTTGGAGAGTTCGTTCTAGGTCTGTGAAATATGCCGTTGGTATTTTAATGGGAAGTGCGTTGAATTTATAGATTGCTTTGGGTAGTATGGACATTTTAATGATGTTGATTCTACCAATCCAAGAACATGGTATGTTCTTCCATCTCTTTATGTCTTCCTCTATCTCTTTTTTCAACGTCCTGTAGTTTTCTGAGTAGAGGTCTTTTACCTCTTTAGTTAAGTTTATTCCTAGGTATCTTAATTTTTTTGGTGCGATGGTAAATGGGATTGTTTTTATAATCTCTCTTTCTGAAAGTTCACTATTGGTGTATAGAAATGCCTCAGATTTCTTGGGGTTAATTTTGTATCCTGCTACATTGCCAAATTCATGTATTAAGTCTAGTAGCTTTTTGATGGAGTCTCTAGGGTTTTGTATGTATAATATCATGTCATCTGCAAATAAGGACAGTTTTACTTCCTCTTTTCCAATTTGGATGCCTTTTATTTCTTCTTCTTGCCTAATTGCAATGGCTAATACTTCCAGTACTATGTTGAACAGGAGTGGTGAGAGTGGGCATCCCTGTCTTGTTCCTGTTTTTAGGGGAAATGGTGTTAGTTTTTGTCCATTGAGTATGATGTTGGCTGTGGGTTTGTCATATATGGCTTTTATTATGTTGAGGTATGATCCTTCTATTCCCACCTTGCTGAGAGTTTTTATCAAAAATGGGTGTTGAATTTTGTCAAATGCTTTTTCTGCATCAATTGATATGACTATGTGGTTTTTTTCCTTCAATTTGTTTATGTGATGTATCACGTTTATTGATTTGCGTATATTGTACCATCCTTGCATCCCTGGGATAAATCCTACTTGGTCATGGTGTATGATCTTTCTGATGTACTGCTGGATCCGATTTGCTAAGATTTTGTTGAGGATTTTGGCATCTATGTTCATGAGGGATATTGGCCTGTAATTCTCTTTCATTGTGTTGTCTTTACCTGGTTTTGGTATTAGGGTGATGCTGGCTTCATAGAATGAGCTTGGAAGTGTTCCTTCCTCTTGAATTTTTTGTAGTAGTCTGAGGAGGATAGGTTTTAGTTCTTCCTTGAATGTTTGGTAAAACTCCCCTGTGAAGCCGTCTGGTCCTGGGCTTTTGTTTGCTGGAAGCTTTTTGATGACTGCTTCAATTTCTTCCATAGTTATTGGCCTATTGAGATTTTTAGATTCTTCCTGATTGAGTGCTGGAATGTTGTATTTTTCTAGGAATTTGTCCATTTCCTCCAGGTTGTCTAGTTTGTTGGAGTAGAGCTGTCCATAGTATTTTTTAACAATCATTTGTATTTCTGTGGGGTCTGTTGTTATTTCGCCTCTATCGTTTCTGATTTTGTTTATTTGGGTCCTCTCTCTTTGCTTTTTGGTGAGCCTGGCTAGAGGTTTGTCGATCTTGTTTATCCTTTCAAAGAACCAGCTCTTGGTTTCATTGATTTTCTGTATTGTTTTTTTGGTCTCTATGTCATTTATTTCTGCTCTAATCTTTATTATCTCCTTCCTTCTGCTCACTCTGGGGTTTTCTTGTTGCTCTCTTTCTAATTCTTTGAGTTGTAGAGTTATATGATTTACTACCATTTTTTCTTGCTTTTTGAGATAGGCCTGTAGAGCTATAAACTTCCCTCTCAGGACTGCTTTCATTGTGTCCCATAGGTTTTGGATTGTTGTGTTTTCATTGTCATTAGTGTCCACGTTTTTCAATAAAGACTGTATAGCTGCAAAAACAGTAAAAAGTAGTATCATACAATTCTTTGAGGAGAAGGGATACATTAGTGATGGTTGGAGTTATGACACTCTAGAAGTTGACCACCATAAAGTTGTCAGTGAACAGTAAGCAGACCATAATTTTGTAAAATGTCTTTTGATTTAGCCTGTTAATCCTTTAAATTTAACAGATTACATTACAGATGACTAAATATTTACATAGCAAACTACCTATGAGGACATTAAAAATCATAACTCAACCCCAGCATTTCCATTTTATTGTTTGTATGTACTAATTTAAATATATAAGTATACAAATGTATATTTTTACCTTTTCAAGATTCTACAGAATGAGCAACTAGATGAAATATCTCCCTTGGGTAATGAGGAAGTTTCAGCAGTTAGCCAAGCATGGTTTACAACTAAAGAAGATAAGGATTCTCTGACTAACAAAGGTAAGATATACTGTGAATTTTAGTGTCTGCTGGAAAAGATGGAGATAAAAAGAACTTATAATCATTAGGATTCTGAGTTGGACCTTCAAAATTGTGATTAAGTAGTTACAGTAATTGAGCTTTTCTTTTTCTTTTTATTAAATTTATTGGGCTGACATTGGTTAATAAGATCATATAGTTTTCAAGTGTACATTTCTATGATACGTGATCTGTATATTGCATTGTGTGCCCACCACCCACAGTCAGATTGTTCTTCATCACCATATATTTGGCCCTTTTCTCCCTTTACTCAACCCCCAACCCTTTCCCTCTGGTAACCATCATACTGTTGTCTATGTCTATGAGGTTCACTTTTATATCCTACCTGTGAGTGAAATCTTACGATTCTTAATCTTTTCTGACTGGCTTATTTCTAATTGAATTAAACTTGAACTTTCCTCATTAAATTAAATTTGGCACTAAATGACTGAATGAGCTCATGAAACCACCATTTTTCAATAATCGATCATTTTTCTGAAATGTAGTAGGTATTGTCCTGTTAATTTTTGAGCAAATGGATAGTGGTGGCATTTAAAAAACAATACAGTACAGTTACTGCTTATGGTACTAGGAAATCAAGCATTTTCAAAGATCTACTTACTTTGGTCTGATAAGTAGCTTAGAGGCTTACTGTCACGTGGTGTTTGTAGTGCAGCTATGCTCATAAGGATTGCTAGAAAGCTGCTACAAGAGAATGGGGGTTGTGGATGTGCCACTCTAAGAAAAGGAAACAAAAGTAAGTAAATTGTTCTTAACCACTGTAAATACACATTTAGAATATACTGTTCACTTGGTAGGTATCCAGAGTATTATGTTTACCTTGCCCTAGAATCTTTGTATATGTTATTTTGCCCATAAAGTTTATTTTTCATTGGAGAAAATTTTCAGCAAGTTTTTAGCACAGTTGGGCTTTTCTAATACTTGTAAGTCTTTTTAGGTGTTCTAGACCAGCGGTCGCCAACCTTTCGGACCTCACGGACCACCAGTTGGCAACTGCTGTTCTAGACTACTGAAAGGGTAAGAGAAGTTACTGAGTGGAAGCCACATTTTTTAAATCTTTTACTTACCATTCTCTTTATTTAGTAGGGTCAAATGTATTCTTTCTTAAAAATCAGAGGTTTCAAAAGCAACTTTACCTAGGGATCTTTCAAGTTTCAGATGAATGAGAAATTAAATTAGCTACATTTTATTTTCATAGATAATATATTTAATCAGAAAGCAAATCTTTAGTAATGTACTCTTCTCAAGGAATAACATTTTCTATAATATTACTTGTTTTCTTTTAAAGGACATAAATGGAAGCAGGGGATGTGGTCCAAGGAAGAAATTGATATTTTGATGAATAATATTGAACGCTACCTGAAGGTATCTTATGGCATATTTTTTTGTTTCACTAATTTGTTTACTGCCAATTGCAAAAATATCAAAGCAGCATAATATATGTACTTAGAAGCTTTTTAATAATTTGTGTAATGGATGACTGGCTAATGTAACTTCATTCTAAGGTGTATGATTTTAGTATATTTTTAAACCAATTTTTTTTAAAAATATATTTTAGTGATTTTTTACAGAGAGGAAGGGAGAGGGATAGAGAGTTAGAAACATCGATGAGAGAGAAACATCGATCAGCTGCCTCCTGCACACTCCCCACTGGGGATGTGCCCGCAACCAAGGTACATGCCCTTGACTGGAATCGAACCCAGGACCCTTGAGTCCGCAGGCCGACGCTCTATCCACTGAGCCAAACCGGTCAGGGCTTTAAACCAGTTTTGAATTCTCAATTTGAAATAGCTTTTTTGCTTTAGTTAACACTCTGAAGTTTAGACAAAAATCTTAATCGTCTCTCAGAATCTTAAAGCCTGTCTTTTAAACTAGCCTGAACTGGGCCCAGTTGTGAGCATCTTTGTCATTTTGAAACTCTACTTTTATTGACTTTTACATTCCACCAGTTGCTGGTCCTCTTTGCTTGGCCTGAAAAAGATGGAAAACAATTTTGGTAATAGGAACTGAGTGATATAGAAGAACCCGAAATTTCCTCCTTCTATTTCTTGTTTATTGATTACAACAATCAACCAACCAAAGACACTGTCTGTCCACCCACCTTTACCCACAGGCAGCACCAAAAGCTTCTCCACTCCACAGCCCCACAGGGCTTCGGGCAGTGAGGTGCTCAGGGCAGGGAGAGGCCGGCGTGGTGCAGGATTTAGTTAAAATTGGAGGCAGATCAGCAGTCTCAGTGCTGCCCCTGAGTGGCACCTATGAGTGAAAGAAACCACACATTTTTGCATGATCTGAGCAGATTCATAATCAGTTATGTGAGACCCCAAGGTTACCCTTCATGGAAATCCTGCTAGTGTTTTTAGTCACTCTGGTGGTTAGTTGTACCAGCTCAAGCTGTTGCTTCATCCCTAGCCCTACCTCAGGTCCTTATATTAACTACTAGAGGCCCAGTGCACAAAATTCATGCATATGGGGGGGTAGGGGGTCCCTCAGCCTGGCCTGCGTTCTCTTGTAATCCGGGACCCCTCGGGGGATGTCAGGCCTAAACCGGCAGTCTCACAATCCAGGACACTGCATGCACCAGTGACCATACTTTCCATACAGGTGCAAGGCATCTTGCTGTTGTATGGGCAGCTACATTTTTTTGCCCTGATTATAAAAAGTAGTACATAACATGATCATTCTGAGGCAGTAGTATCATTTTCCCCATCTTATGGGTGGGAAAACTGAAGCAGAGAGAGGTTAAATAACTGGCTTTGTCACACAGTTATATGTGTCAGAATCAGGGCTGACCACAAAATATGCAAGCCAGAGTCCATGCATGTCATCGCTGCATCATCCTGCTTTTTCAGTGTTAGAGTAGCCTTGCCAGGTTTTAATTTTTAAATCTAAGAGACAGTTCTCAATATATAGGGTAGGGTCCCTAGGCCTGCCTGGAGATCAGGACCATCTGTGGGGTGACCAGCAGGCAGGGCAATCAGGGGGGCCCCTTCTGGAACCCACCTTGGCTGGTGGCCTGACGCTGCCCACTGGCCACCCCCCCTCCCCCCAATTGCTGCCACCGCCGCTAGTCGCCTCCCTCTTGGGAAAGGGGGGCAGTGCACGTCATAGCGACCAGTTCTGCCTGTTTGTTCTGCTGTACAGTCGATTTGCATATTAAGGTTTTATTATATAGGATAGGTTTCCTCGGTTTCCTCTTCTGTGAAATGGGAATACAATAATACCAACTTCAGATGTGTTAAGAAAATGAGTGAACAATTCATGGCAGAGACTGGCATATAGGAGGTGCTCATTATATGCTGATGCTGCTGTTTGTGCCCTGCCTTTTACTGCCAGAAGACAGGGTAATGTAGTGGATGAAACTGCATAAACAAAATAATTTTAGGAGAAGATTCTAATATTTAGAAACATTTTGCTGTTAAGTTGTTACAGATTTTATACATTCAAAAGTAATTTTACCTGTTTTTTAAATTTATATAAATACAGGCAGTCCTCGGGTTACGTTGTTTTGTGGTTACATCGCCATCTCCCATTTACAGTATTTATTTAAAAAATTCTGTCATTTCGACATATGTACATATGTTTTATGTTTTTTATTATTACTACAAGTAAAGGTCAGGAATTGTTATCTTTCTTTTAAAATTATTTACTGTTTCACTTCATTACTGCTGTGTATGTGCTCCATGTGAGTGACGTAGGTGCTTATGTAGGTGGGTTCCGACTTACAGCGAAAATTGCGTTAGGTTGCATTGTCGTGTCGTAGGAACAGATCTCTGACGTAACCTAAGGACCTACTGTACATTCATTTTTTGGGTATTACATAATTGGGTATTATATAACTTATTTTGTTAGATGTTAGGAATTTGAAATCAATGCCCTGTTGGTTTCTTTAACTGTATTTTATTGTGCAAAATGTATATATAAAGTTACCCATTTCATAGTTAATGGTCATTTGAGTTCTTTTTTTTTTTCAATATATTTTATTGATTTTTTTACAGAGAGGAAGGGAGAGGGATAGAGAGTTAGAAACATTGATGAGAGAGAAACATCGATCAGCTGCCTCCTGCACACCTCCTACTGGGAATGTGCCCGCAACCAAGGTACATGCCCTTGACCGGAATCGAACCTGGGACCCTTCAGTCCGCAGGCTGACGCCCTTCCACTGAGCCAAACTGGTCAGGGCTTGAGTTCTTTTTTTTTTTTTTTTAATTCTTTATTGTTCAGATTACATTTGTTCCTCTTTTCCCCCCCCATAAC